CCTGTCTTTAAGGTACTTTTTCAGGGGTGAGGAAAACACGTGATCTGTGGGTTGCAGTTTTAAAAGTAATTTTAGATGCTGTTTGGATTTTGAGACTGATCCTTGAAGCAGCTCAGTGATGCAGATAATGATAAACCAGTTCAGCCCCAATCTGTCAGGGTTTCTGCAAGTGCCTGGAAATATTTCTATTCCAGGACTTTGGGATACTTTACCTGTAAGTATAAGCAGTTACTTAGGGAGAGTTGTGAAGGAGAAAAGAATACAATTATAGGCTTGGCTGTTTCTCATGCCTTCTTATTGAATTGAAATAAAACACACAGACTGATGCAGACAAAATTTTATTGAATATTTCACTAACAAAGCTGTAACTATTGGAATAAGGTTTCTGCTGTTTTATTACTCCAATTCTGAATCTCAAACTAGGGTCCTGTTCTTGCACCTATGTCCCCCTTCACAGAATTTTTTAAGCTTTAAATGCAAAAGAAGGAAGAAAAGAAACTTGAGCCAAGTTGATTTTTTTTTCCACAATTCAACTGGGAGCAGGGGTGGAAGAAGGCAGCAGTAGCAGTGAGGCAGCATGGGAAGTGAAATGCCCAACATCTCCCAGAAGAGTTGACTATTCCTGGCACAGCTGAGGTCTTGGCAACTTTGCAAAACACTTCAGGGTAGCGGCATCTTTTGATCTTCTCTGAATCTGTGAGAACTAGAAGCTTGCAGATGTCCAAGTGCTAGAAGGGTCTAGGATGATCAATTGTAAAATAACTCTGAAATGTGAAGTCTCGTCCCTAAAATATACTTGTACAACAACCTTCCAGTGGTGGCACAACTCCTGCTAACACCATCAAAGGCCTTGCCTGCAGGGAGTGCAGAGGTTTGCTTTAGAGGGCTCGAGGAGGGAAGTGCACAGACATTCCTGCTGATGTCTGTGGCAGCCTTGCTCAGGTGGAGACACACAGGAGACTGCCAAGGACAGGTTCCACTGTAAATCAGTGTGGTTTCCTTGGCTTCAAGAGGATCACTGATTTGTATTTGGTCTATATGGTGATCCCACCTGAGACACATAATGACATTGCAGGTACGTGCCGGGGATATGAGAACAGAGTTGATGACGACCAGGAGCTGCTCTTGGGAGATGGCATTAGTGTGATGCTGAGAATGTGGAGAGACAAGCTGGCATTGCTGTAGGAGCTAAAACTGGGATCTGTCACCTGGGTACGGCCGTGCTATACCTGTATCTGGGATGGGAACAGCGAGTGCAGCCAGGCTTCAGCACAGCAGGGGTTCATCTACTCAGCATAGCAGGATGTTGGTGTCAGAGCTGCTGGCACATATTTCACCTCCCCGTGGTACAGGAAGGGCACAGGGGAGCTGTAGCACTTCTCTCTGTCGTAGGTGTAGCAGGTCTGGGGTTCATCACAGAAGTTGCCCTGCTGGGCCTGGACGATCCTCCCACCCAGGTCAATCTCTACAGGACTGCAGTTTCTGCAGCTGCAAGAGACGGAGAACACAACAAGTGTGAAGAGTTATGATGACAACATGCCCCTGGTGACAATCAAATCTTCTCTGTTGATCTCCATCCTGTTGATGGAGCCAGCAGAGTCCTGTGGCCTTTCTAGGTGTTATATGTTAACTCCCAGCCCTTAAGCACCTTTTTGAGCTGCTGAGGGTTAAGTCTTGGGAAATTAGGTTAGTAAATAAAACTACTTACAGTTCAGAGATTCGGTAGACAAACTTGGTTCTCAGTGGGGACAAGGGGTCAGAGATGTTCTCTCGAGCCTTCAGGGGGACTCTGCAAAGGAGGGAGGAGAATGACTCATGGAAATTGTGTATTAAACAAGGTTCTCTCTGCTGTGAGCAGTTCTAAACTCCCTTCTCATTCCTTGGGTTCTTTCCATTCTGACCCTCCCCGAGAGGACTGCAGCAACTCTCGAGAAGGCCACTTTCAAGGTGACAGTTTGTTCTTGTGAAACTCTGAGCTGTCAGATGCCTGGGAGACTTGCAGGACATGGACAGGGATGTGGCTCTCCTGTTGTGAGCTCTACCAGAGATCCTGCAGCTCCGAGCCTGAACTGCTCCTTGTTTCCCAGACACACACACTCTTCTGCTAGGTTTGTGCGAGTGGATAGGACCCAGTCCAACTCTTGAACTGCGATCTGTCTCATAGGATTAAGCTTTAGGACTTAACTACTTTCCCAGACTCACTGTCAGATAGGGAAGTATCCAGTGCCATGGGCTCCATCTGGTTTCAGGTTAGATCAGCTGCTGACATGTTACACTCTACTTCCCCAGCCTCTTTTCTGAAGTTACTACTGGACTGTTTAAAATATGGGCATGTTTTTTGTATCTGAAGGGACAAACACCAGAGAGGTTCATGTGAGGTAAAAAACCCACTAAACAAAGGGAAATATTTAGGCTACTACAGAAAGCAGCCCATGGGACAAGCTGTTCCCTTCATCAGTGCCAGGACATGGGAAAGAATGCACAGGAAAGGCAACACTTCATCACTTGCTCACCATCTCCATGAAATATTTGTCTGCCACTTACATGATACGTATGTGTCTCTCCAGGACTTCTTGATCAGGGTCTTCTTTAGAGGGGACGATCTTTGAGGTCATTGTCACACACTGGCACTTGTTGTTGACCAGCACGTACTCCTCATCCTTGGGCTCCAGCGGGTAACCTGCAAGCACAGCATATGCAACCCTGGAGTCAAGGGGAAAAGCTGTTAAAGCTGTTCTAGTGGAAATCCAAGGGATGAGAATGCCAGGAGCACACCAGTACAGAGCCTGGATTGATTCCAGGGAAGGGCAGGTGGCCCTGATGATGCTTGTGCTTTGCAGGGAAAACTCCAGTCCTGATTTTCTTACCCAAGCCGTTTCTTCTCTCTCTGAGTACATCTCCCACACTGTTAGCATGCTACACAATATGAAACTCAGTCACAACAGGCTAAAACATCCCATGTGTCACCCAGAGGCTTTTGGAATGTTCCTGGTGTTGTGCAGTGCTGCCTTACTGTGCTAGTAGATGGACTTGCCTGCTCTGCTTGTTGCTTGGTTTAATTATGGAGAGAAAGGAGAAATAGGCTGAAAACGTCTGTGTTAATCATGTCTATAAAGGACTTTGGAGTCACTTGGACTTAAAAGCTTTGGTCCTTCCTGCTCCTATAATATACGGGTCTCAGCAGCTCCTGTTCCAGGTTTTTGGAGATCCTTACAGGCACCATATCTGGGGAAAAGGCACCAAAACTGTGTGAAATGATGCTTCAGAGAGACCCCAGAGTTCACCTGCTGGTTTCAAGTGCTGTTTCTGTGGCCTTGGCTGCCTTTGGCAGCAGAACACCTGCCGGAGAAGATTCTCTGTGGAGTTTCTAGCTTGGGAAGCAAATCACTTAGCTCCCTTGCTCTGCAAGCTTCTTTCCTGCCAGCTAACTCCTCGCTCCACATGACACTTCTCTCTGAAGCAGACGCTTCCCACAAAAGCCTCTCTAGTCCCTGTCTCCTTGTCCTGGTCTTTCTTTTGGCTCATGAAAGGTCTCTGGCTTGTCCTTCACACAGCCCTTCCTCTGCTGCCTGTGCTGTGCTCCACATAATGTTGTGTGCAGTTCTTTCCAAGCCTTTAATCCAAAGCCAATATTCAAGTTGGATCCTATTGGCTTTGGGGTTGTCCCAAAGCCTTTGGGAGCAGGCTTTAATTCTAAAATTAGTTTAACACGTTCTTTTATGCATATGCAGGGTTTTTTGAATGCACTCTAAAAATGCTGTCCTGATTTAATTCTTTATGTAATGCTCTTGGCTTCACTGTAAAAGTTACTGCAACTCCATTTATTTTTCAAGTAAAATTACACTGCTCAAAAAATATAATTTTGTCAGCAATATCTCCATGTGCCACCCAGTGAAGTCCCATCGGGGAGAAGGTATTTATGTACAAAATTTCCTAATGCTGTTCTAAGTGTCTGCAGATTGGGTTTCCTGCACTAAGGTGTTCCCTCCCTCCTCAATATTTATTTAGCTGGTTTTTGGACAGAATTTCTCATTTTCCAATACTGGATCATCCTGCGATCCACTGTAGTGTATCACAGCAGTGCCTGGGTAAGCAGTGAGATGCCCTTTGCCAAAAGCTGGAGAAAATGCAGGGATGCAGCTGTCCACGCTGTTGGCATGGTTATCCTTGAGCACCGGTTTAATCCTGCAGACCAGATGCACCACGTGCATGAGAATGGCTTCAGACTGTCACACAGAGACCTGAGACCCACACTGAGGAGTATGCTGGGAGCATGCTCTGATCTCACTGGAGATCAAGAGTTCCCAAGAAATTCAGTGGAGTTATGTGACAAATTACTGTTCAGTCAAAAAGAAGTTGGAGGTAGCCATAGGACAGGACTATCAGGAAGATTTTGGAAGCCTTTAAATCTAGCAGGTAACTCTTGCAAGGTCCCTAGCACTGCAGAAAAGCAAGCAAGCATGCTGGCAGTTTGTTGCTTCAGCAACCTGATAAGAAATGGAAAATTATCAAGGCTTAAGTTCACAGCTAGGCATCACTTTGTCCTCAAGGCAGCAACTAAACCCACACAGCTCTGGTGCAGAAACACAGAGGTGTACAAGCACCACTGAACCACGATTGCTTGAGCAGGCTTTGAGTTTGGACTTTTGACTGTTGTAGATTACACAAAACCTGCCACTGATATCTTAATCCCAGTTTTCCACCTACCTGCCACAAGGATGATCCCCAAGGAGACGGCCAAGGCCACGCACAGCAACAAAAAGCTCTTCATCCTGCCTCCCCTTCTTTTGAAGAATGTGGGTGCAGAGCCTGTCTCTGCCTATAAGGGTGTGTGCAAATGGGTTTCCTAAAATAAACAGCCCAGCCGGCTGCACCGACACTGGGAAATGTGGCTTTGGGGACTGAAACCAGGTGTGTGAGTGCACCAAGACCTCTGGTTTTCACAGGGGAAGGGGGCAAGGGGTTGTGCTTTTATTGAGCTATTTTATCCTGTTCATCAGGCAGTGAAGCTGCTGAGTGCAAGGAGTTGCAAAACCACCCTGGTCCTTGGGGGACATCTTGTCATCAGGGCCAGTATTAAAGTAAGAACGTCCAAGGACCACAGCTCTGCTTCTAACTGTGAGAAATCAGACTTGAAAGATGACTTTAGTCATACTAAAAAACCACTTCAGGCTTCAAAGTGAGTCCTGTTTGAACCAGCTGTGTGCAAACCTGTATTAAGGGCTTGACCTGCCCCCAGAGAGCCTGCAGTCAAAGCAGGCAAGATGAGAGGGGAGGGGTGAAAGAGGTAAAGCTGACAGCAGCTCTGGGGCCAAGCTGAGCTCTTCCTCTAGCTCTGCCTGGGGTTGTATTGTCCAGGGGTGTATTTCCTTGAGAATGGAAAGGGGATTCCATGGGATTTGTGGTCAGAGGTCCTGTGTCAGGTCCCAACCAAACCCTGAGGTACTGGGCATGCAGACTTCTCCTGAAGGAAGGAGATACTGGAGAGGACCTGGATTTCTTTTGTCCCAGATTTAGTATCACTTATGGAACTCTGAAACACAAAAGTTGCAATGTAATCTGCAATGGCCAGAGCTGTCCCTGTAGCATTTACATGTATCTTGTGCAGAAAAGGACACTTTTTAAGGAAAGCCCAGTCTTAGCAAGGGCCTGATTTCTCTTGCCAGGCTCCTTCGATAGGCTGAAGTCATTGGGCAATGCTGCCAGGCATCCCAGTTCCTGTCACCTTGCACGCTGTCCTCCCTTTTCCCAGACTCTGCTGGCTGGGTCCCCAACCCTGGGGTTCTTCCAAGACCCCTGATTCTGTGCCCTGAGCTTTTCCAAGCACAAACGTCTCACCCTGCAGCTGCCTGATGCAATGAGCTTTCAGATTACATCAGCACTGCCCATGTGCAATGAGCGTGGGAGTTGGAGGGTGGTGATGGGTGATAGCCCAGCTCCTTGCAGGGCGTTGGGTTCTGCCACAGTTCTTTACAAACCCTGTTTTCTCATCAGGGATACATCTATAGGAGGGCAGGATTTGGGTTTGCTTCCTTTCCCCCTCTCAGAAGGTATTGCCAACAGTTGTGTGCAGTGCTCTGAGGCAGTGGCAAGATGTTCCCTGTGCCCCACTTTGGCAGAAGGTAAATAAACCTGGCTTGCCTGGGCTGGTGGGGGTGTCTGTCTAAAGCACAATTTGCTTCAGTTACCCTTTTCTGTAGCAAAGGATTTTCGTAGAATTATCCAAGAAGGGGGGAAAGCTGGCACCAGGATAAAGCACATGCAGAGGAGGCTGGTTCTGGTCTGCTTTGCCAAAATACACTAATAAAAACATGGCACTGGGAAAATCCAAGGAGAGGCACCTGAGTATTTTCCAACCCCAAGGCAGAGACTGAGCAGAATTATGTTCTGTGTTTCTGTTGATTTCGGTGTTTTTCCCTGGCTGCTGGTGCTCAGCATATCTGGATTTCGGTTGCTAAACCTACACGTGTGTGTACAGTCCCTTCGGTCTGGATATGGTGACACGAGGGCTATATTTAGTCCCCTTCAGCCACCTGCATGTCTCTGGGGTTTCTAGTGAGACTGCAAGCTCTTGAGAGGAAGGTCTGTTTTATGGATTGTTACTTCTATGGACTGTCCCCTTTTTACTGGGTGATATTCTGAATTACCAAAAAATTGATCTGGGCAAGCAGCTGTTTTGGTAAGGGGCTGGCAGACCATCAGTCCAGGCTCCATTTCTGGGCTGAGCAGGGAGCTGGACTGCCAACCTCCCTGTGGGGCAGAGGCCAGTGGAGGAATAATTGAGAACTGGAAAAGAAATGGGAGCCAGCCTTGCAGTCTCAGTCTCCTTTCACTTGTCCTGTGCCTCCAGCTGGCTCTGGACAGGCTGAACTAGAGTTTTCCAGGTAAGAAGTCGAGCAGGGGCCTGGATGCAGTGAGGCAGAATAGTTGTCTGTGTGTGTCCTTGCTGTGACGGTGAGAAGGATGACACCAGGGCAGGGGGTCTCTCCAGATAACACACCATGCACAAGCAGTCTGTCCTATGCTTCTCTTCGCTCTTGGAAATAAACTTTGGGTTGAGAGACAATGTGTCATTGGCCATTATCATCCATGAGAGTCCAAGTGCAAGTTAGTCTTTTGTTAAGGCTCTGAATTTTGAAAGGGCAAACTTGAAACAAAATTAGGTCAGTTAGATGGTAACAATCAGGGTCAGGGAAATAAGGGAGGCCTTGGTTTTGGTAAGTTACACCTGCAAAAGTTATCTGGAATTTTAACCTCGCGGGAACGGGCTGCTGGTGTCTCTGGCTGGATTCACACAAAACCCCAGCAGGACTGAACAGCCAGATGACAAAGCCTGATCACCAGAGACAGCTGCATTTAGTGGCCAGCCAGTATCAAGTGAGAATTTCCCCTGAGGAGCGGCTAACAAATTAAATGATGCTGTGTCTCACCAAATCCAACTTATTCTTGTTGCTCTTTCTTCTACAGGTCTGTATCCAGGGAGGTGATGGCTGAAAACCAGCATAGACAGGTTTGGAAAAGAGGGCTGAGGCAAAACCTGCCTGTGTGCAAGAAAATTTTGACCCAGAGGTAACCATGTGGAGAGGAGGAGCGTGTCAAAGTTAGAAATGAGACCTGTCTGCCATCAGATCAACCAGAATCCAAATGAATCACCTAAAAGTGAGTCAAGTTTTGCACTACACTCTGTGTGTGTTAATTTGAGTATTTACTTGACATATATTTTTTTCCATGGAGAGGTGGACAGGAGCATTTATAAATACAACTGCACCTGTTCTGTGGTGAGGAAAAAAAGCACCTGCACTTCCTGAACACAGAACTGCTCTTGCTGGGATGTGGAGGTGCTTAATTTATCAGGCTCTGGGTTTCTGAGCTCGGAATACACTAATGTGACTCCTACTGCTCTTCTAGCAGGGCTGCCTGGAGTTTTCCAAAGCAGACTGTTTCCATGTGGCTGAGTAATGTGGCTTGGGAAAGCTGGGAGGCTGGGCTGGGTGCTCTGAGATGGATGACAGCTACACACAAGTAGAGATTGCCTTAAAAACCCTCCCGATCAGGGGGTCCCTGAGTGTTGAAAAATCAGAATTGCCCCTTGTCTGTGGATCTACGCATGGATCTATTTGCATGCAAGGATGGGTTCAAGGAGTGCAGAGGTGGATTCTGGCGTCAGGTGTATTTTCCACGTGTTTTTTTTCCCCTGGTGCACGATGACCACACAAACAACAACTGCATGGGGCTGGGCTTTTAGGGGAAGGAAAACTCCCGAGGAGGAAGAAAAGGCTCTTTCTCCCCCTCTTTCAACGTGGCATCAGTGATTGCTGACTGGAACCCCCTCCCCGGGGGCTGCGGGGGACATCAGCATCTCACGGGGCGCGTAAGGCCGATCGCGCTCGGGACCTGGAACGGGAAGGAGTCGGGCGGAGCTGCCCGGCGGAGCAGCGGAAGGGGAGCGCTGGAAGCGGAAGGGGCGGTGTGGAGGAGCCGGAGGAGCCGCAGGAGCCATGCGGACCCGGCGCGGCACCGTCCTGCGGCCGCCGGCACAGTCCCCCGAGGCCGACCATGGGCTGGACGAGGCGCCCGCCGACAGCGCCGGCCCCGAGGAGCTGGCGGACGACGTGGAGCAGTTCCACGAGGCGCAGTTCCGAGCCGTGATGGCAGCCCTGGACAGCGGCGAGGAGGCCGGGGACAGCGGCGACGAGGAGGAGGAGGAGGAGGAGGTGCTGGGGCTGCAGCTGCCCGAGGAGGAAAGCGAGGAGGAAGAAGAGGAGGAGGAGGAGGCGCAGGGGCTGAACCTCTTCGTGGAGCACAGCGCAGAGGAGGATGAGGGTGGAGACGCTGAGGAAGATGAGGATGGGGAAGGTGAGGAGGAGGAAAATGAGGAGGAGGAAAATGAGGTTGAGGATGAAGATGGGGACCTGTCCATGGAAAGCGACTTGGAGGAGCAGCGTCCGGACACCAAGCTCCCCCACGAGCTCTCCTGGGGCCAGCGCAAGCAGCTCTACTATGACACGGACTACGGGAGCGATGCCCAGGCCAAGGGCAAGCGGAGCCAGCAGGAGATCGATGCTGAGGAGGAGGAAGAGGAGCAGGAGGCTCAGGTGATCCAGAGGCGGTTAGTGCAGGACTTGGGGGAGGATGACTATGGGCTGGATATGATCCAGGGCTACCTGGCTGAGCAGCGCAAAATCCACGATAGCAAGGGGCAGAAGATTGACAAGGATCTGCAGGCCCTTTCCAAGAAGGAGCAGCTGAAGCTGCTGAAGCGGGAGTCCCCTGAGCTTCTGCAGCTGATGGAGGACTTGGAAGTGAAGCTCATGGAGATCAAGGATGAGCTGCACCCACTGCTGCAGATGGTCAAAGACGGCACTATCCCCCAAGGGAAGGGCAGTCGGTATTTGCAGACCAAGTATCATCTGTACCTGAACTACTGTGCCAATATCAGCTTCTATCTAGTTCTGAAGTCCAAGAGGGTGCCCGTTCATAGTCACCCCGTCATCGAACGGCTGGTGGCTTACAGAAATATCATCAATGACCTCGCTGTCATAGACCAGAAGTTATCCCCACAGGTCCGTGTGCTTCTGAGGAGCTACTATGATAAGAAGGAAGAGAGGCTACGGAAGGAAAACAAGTTTGCCGTGTTTCTCACCATGGATGGCAAGAAAAACAAATCAAAACATGCCTCTGCACTTGCTAATGGCCAGGCTGCTGCTGCTTCTGAGTCGTCGGGTGAGTCGGAGCTGGATGAGGAGGCTGCCCTAAAATACTACAAGATGATGGAGGAGAAGCTGGCACTCAAGAGGAAGAGACCTGGGGACGAAGACGTGCTTGAAGAAGAAGCTGTGTCAGAAGGAGAAGATGCCAGTAAAAAGAGGGGGGTGACCTACCAGATGATCAAGAACAAAGGCCTCACGCCCAAAAGGAGGAAGATCGATCGCAACCCCAGGGTGAAGCATCGGGAGAAGTTCCGTCGCGCCAAGATCCGCCGCAAGGGGCAGGTGCGGGAGGTGCGCACGGAGCTGCACAGATACGCTGGGGAGCTCTCCGGCATCCGCGCCGGCGTCAAGAAGAGCAGGAAGCTCAAGTGACACTCACTTTTCTATAAGAGCTGCCAGTAGCAATCCTGAATCCAATAAAAGTTTTGTAAAGGATGTTGTGAATTTTATTCTTAAGGAAATTGGGGGTAGGGTGGTACTTGTTTGTTTGTGGTTTTGTTTTTTTTTTTTTTCAGAAGGTGCCATCTCCAAGTGGCAGAGGGCACTTTGCACACTTGCCCATGTGTTAAGGTATTTTCCTCTGTTGTGGTGCTGTCATGTTTCCATAAACGGAACCTTGAGAGGTTGCAAGCGATGTGTCAAGCAAAGGGAGCAAAATGGGCCATGTGGGATTGCTGGGGAGATAGGATGGCATGGATGGATCTCCTGACAGTGGCTTGAGAATGGGGTTCAGCAGCTCTCACTGTCTGCTGTTGTGTTCTAGTCCATCCCGTTCCTGTGTTGAGCTGCAGAGGGAGAGATGTGGTTATGGTATTTAATTATTTTAATTAACTCACTTGATAGTTCTTTAATGTATGAGTGCTACTTTTAGGTTGTCTTAAATTACTTAATTCTGTGTTGTCTAAAATAGTGTTTCCCCTCCTGAGTTCAGTGAGAAGCCAAGCAAGGACTTGTCTGGATCTCCTGACTATCTATGATAACACGTTAACTTCATCTATGATAAATGCTAACTGTTGTCTGCTGCTACAGGACTAAGTAGCATTGCTGCAGGACAGGTGGGTAAGGTGTGATGTCTTCAGCTGCCAGGTAAACTTTCAGGATGTTTGGAAGACTTCCATGCCTTCTGGTGGGTAAATGCATTTTAACCCCATATCAAGTTCTTGCCAGGAGCTGACTGTGAGTGGCCATTTCCAGTTTAGGCTGTAAAGGAGGAAAAAGTGATTTTTTCTGAAGTTTAACAAAAATTGTCTCAGATAATACTTGTACTTGGTCTGGAACAGGTTTGGGGACCCCATGCCTTGATTTGTTTGCCAGTACCACCTGAAAGGTACTAGTTTGTCATATGAAATTAAGGAGAGTCACTGCCAAGAAATGTCAGCACATATCATGGGGTTTTTTTTGTGTGTGTGTGTGATGTTCTTGAGGGAAGCCAAGATGTGTGTACCTGACCATGTGGCAGCCCCGGTGATGTAGTTCAAACATGCAGGTGCTCTGCTCATCCTCTGCAAGTGAAATGTGCTTCTGTAGGGTCCTGATATAAAGCTTTATATCCCAGGCCTGTTCCTGGCAGGAACACGCTGTTCATTGCTGACTCAGGAATATTTTGGTAATTTTCAAAGCTGGTGGTTAATAAGCTTAAGCTGGACAGATGGGATCAGTCCTATATCCAGATGGACTGAACTAATCTTCTGGTTAGAGGAGTGCTCTCTTTACCCTGATGGCCAGAGGTGAGATGTGTAACCTTTGAGCTGTGGGGATAAATGTCCTTCACGTGTGCTCACTCATCTGCCCTTCTGGCAGTGATTTACAGTGTTGGCTGCTCTTTCCCAGGGACAAGGGTCCCAGCCCTGCTGAGGAAAGAACTAGAGCTTTTCCCATTGTTTATGAACCCACACCGGGGCTGTGATGGAGGCTGCCACTGATAACACTGAGCTACACTCAGGAGGCGCTGCCAAGAGGTCAGTAAGAGGTAAGTAAGGTGCTGGGGAAAAAAGCAGCTTAGGTGCTTTTTCTGGGAAGGAATGGTGTTGTGTAACAGGCATCACGTGGGATGTGGAAAATATCCAGCAGAGATGCTCCCTGATCTCATTGCTACAGCACCTGCTTGTGGACATTTCACACTTGGTACAAAAATGAAGGGCTCACTCGGGGTCTTTGACGGATCTGGCTCTGTGCTTCCTTGGAAAGCTCCAGGCAGCTGGCAAGCAAAATTCTGGCAACTTCGATGTGAGCAGTAAATAAGGGAAATAAGCAATTAGCGTGCCATTACAGACACGCTCCCCAGAAACGCTGGGATTAAGGCTGGAGGCCGGAGGGAACGCCGTGTGTCAGCCGCCCAGCGCTGGCTGCCGGCAGATGGCACAGCATGGCTCCCACTTTAATGAAGATTAACCGGGCATTATGTCCACTTGGTTAGTTCAGAGATTGGACAAAGCCATCAATAACATTCCCATATGGTTTTATGTACGAGTGATCATGAGAAGGCCAGGATTATTAACCCCATGGGAGGGGGGACACTATGGCTGCTCTAAGAAATACTTGTGCCAAAGGGAAATCCTTGGTGGTAAACAGGTTTTGAAAATCCCAATGAAAATGCACACATGTAAAATCATGGAAGGATCGTGGATAAAGATCAGGAAAATAAGTAGAGTCAAGTTAATGCTGCTTTTTTCCTCTTTCAGCACTGTTTCTGGAGAAGGTGCAGACACTGCCAAGGACAAGCTCCAGCTGTGGGATGGCACTTGTCATGGCCAGGGTCCTGCTTGGAGAGGACTGTTGGCCTCAGCCCCTAATGCTGGTTGGGACTCACCTCAGGTAACAGCTCTGCCTCACCTCAATCACCACCTATGGAGGTACCTGCCCTGGGTCCTTTGCACCCGCTAGCTTGGAGCTGGTTGATCCAAGGGATAATCAGTGCTGTCTGCACTTGCATGGAAATGATTCATATTTAAAATGACATAGGCAGGGTGTAGGAAGCTCTAGGGTATGAGCTGCTCTTTTTTCTTTGTACAGAGAAAAATGGCAGAGGGGGGACAATGCTTTCTGTATCCCAGCCTGGAATTTCTATTTATACAGGGTGAGGAAAATATATTGACTATCTCAAATGGAAATACATCTGCTGCTGCCTTAAATTTTGTCAATGCTTTTCTAGTTGTGTTCCATAATATCCCATCAGACACAGTCTGGACATTGTTTTACTCTCGTTAGCAAGTAGAAATTCAAACCTTCAGCTGTGAGATTCGTAAAATAGATTAAAGCATCTGTTGAATTAGTTGCAGCATGCTGCATGACTTGGGGCAGCGCTGGAAAATCAGCCTCCAGAAATCAGTTGCCTTTACAGCTTTGCTTTTGCAGTTTTAATGTGAGATTTAAAAGCAAGCAGCCGTGTTTTGGCTTAACCCAAGTGCACCGAAGGTGTTCTTAAAAACTGGCAGATTTCTGTGCTACCTGCCTGCTGACAACACTACCCTCAACATTACCTGCCCTGCATTTATCCCTGTCTTCTGAAAGACAATGTATTTGACAGTTTTAATGTTAAGGAATACATCTGGACTCAGTATTGTCGCCTTTTGTCCCAGGATCTGAGAACGCCGCTGTCCATGCCGGGGGGAGGCAGCACACGGTGCAATGGCTTCGCTTCTTGGGTAAGAGCCCCTCGGGGTCTGGCTGTCGGTGTGTGTGTCAGCCCGCGCTCCCCCCGCGCCGGGCAGAGCCGCTCCCGGAGCGCATCCCCGGCCCCGGGGGCGGAGGAGGGGGCGGCCGATGCGCCGCTTCCCGGCCGGGGCGGGGCGGGGCGGCAGCGGGCGGCGATGGCGGAGGCGGAGCGGGCAGCGCTGCCTCCGCCGTCGGCCGAAAGTTGCCGGGACGGGGCCGAAACGGAGCTGCCCCCGGGCATGGAGCGGCGGGCCGAGCCCGGGGAGGCGGCGGCGGAGGAGGAGGAGGAGGCGCGCCCTTCCTCGCCACCGTTCTTCCTGCTGTACCCCGGCCATGGAGGCGGCGCCGCGGCCGCGCCGCCCGCGCTCTGGAGACCCCCCGCGCCCCGCGGCGGGGCCGCGCTACCCGTGCTGGTGCTGAGCTACCCGGGGCCGGACGGAGCCCGTGAGTACGGCGGGGCTTCCCCGCGCCGGGAGGCTCCTGCGGGGCGCGGCCGGCGGTGGGCGGCGGGCCGGGGTCCCTGAGCGCCGCTCCCGGCGATGCTCCTGCACGGAGCGCTCCGGGCTGGGGGGGAAGGCACGGCTCCCGCGGCGATGGGGATAGCCCCAGAGCTGCCCCTGCCCCAAAGCTGCCCCTGCCCCGCAGGGATCCGCAGGGTTTGGGGGGCCTGGCTGGTCCCCGGCGGCAGGGAAGGGCAACGGGCGTGGACTGGCTGGAAAGAAGGGACAGTGAGAGCTCGGAGGAGGCGGTTCGTGTGTGTGTTTGTGAGCCGTGCTGGGCCAGCAGGTCAGCAAAACCAGCCCTCCTGAGAGTCCTTCTTGTGCCCTTTGGGGAGAACAGGTGCCACCCTCTGAAATCCAACAGGCTGTCCTGGACTCGGGATGGAGTTAGGAGCTGGGGAACCCCCGCTCAGGCTCCCTCCTGGTGCTGGCAGGGAGAACAAATCCGAGGCAAAGGCACAGCACGCTGGAGACGTTAGCAGGCTGAAGTGCATCGGTGTGTTGGGTGGCAAATAGTTTTCTCCTTTGTCAGATTCTTTGTGATATTCTTGTGGTATATTTGGGTAAGCTGGAGTACGTGAAGTTGGGTGTGCTTTAAAATAAAACAAAAACTACACTCAGGAGTGCATGTAGAAGAGATCTTCCATCTTCCCTTTTCCATCCTTTCTGAAAATAGCCAGCGGCTTCATCCTCTGGGATGGGGCCAGAATATGAGTGACTGAGCTTTTGGCCTTTGCTTTGTCACCTCCTGTCCCAGGTAAGCATTCGGTCACGCAGGAGCTGATTTTTTTGAGTAGGTGTTTGTTTCTCCTTTGGAAGCTGATGTACTGAAAGGCATTACTCAGCAGAGCTGTAACCACTGAGGTAAGAAGTCCATGCGTGTAATGCCAAGAGGAGGTGGAATGCCCTGACTTTGCTCTGAGCTCTGTGAAGGACTGTCTCTGAGTGCCAACTTTTGTCCACAGTCCAAAGTCCCTCCCTGGTAAATTGTTGTTGGAACTGACAGCTCCCTGTCAAAACCTTCTCTTTTCCTTGCAATTTTTTCCTAATCGGGAGATCTTTATCCTCAGTATCCTTGTGCAAGCAAGCTTGAGCTATTTCTGATGGAAAAGAAAACTTGAAGAAAAATAATCTGGTCAAACTTGGTTGTAAGAAGGCTCCTGTGCAGGTGTGGGGAAACCAGAGCATCACCGTGAGCCTGTTTGTTCTCCAGGAGTGGAGAGGCTCAGTGGCTGAGCAGTGTTTTATCCCATGTCAGCCTTACTCTGTGGTGCCTGTTGGTGCAAGCTTTGTCAAAAACCTTTATGAAATGCATATTGAAGTTCCTTTGTTCTTTTCAGCCATGGAGGTAACAACTGCCTGTGCAATGTCATGTGTCACAGTCTGTTCAGGGACTGGCTGATGCGGGTCCCTTCCAACTCGGAATGCTCTGTGATTGCAATGTCTGAGGGGAACAGGGATCATCAGCTACTTGGTATATTGGGCTCTGTTTCTCCTGGGGCCAACTCTGTCTTTAAATCTTGTTTTCGTCATCTCTTGTTTTTTCTTGTTTTGATTTTTCCCAGTTCTCCCATCTCTAAAGCAGCTTTCATTTGTCCCTCACAGGGGAGCAGCAGGAGCAGTGTGTTCTGCTGTAGAGTCTGATGTGTTACAGTGAGTGCAGTGGCCACTACACTGAAAAGCCAATATTTCACAGTATTTGGGAGGTTTATTTCGCGTCATTTTTTCCCCCCTGTTACAACACAGTCATTAAACTGTTCTCTCTGATTCTCACCTAATTCCAATCTTCAGGTGAAGGCCACAGCTGCTTAGGGAAGGAGACTGCAAAAGCTTTTCATGCCAGCAGCACCTGCTCTTTTGTTACAGATGGTTCCAGACAGACAGAAGGAGCAAGAAGATTTACTTAAATGTGCTGAGCTGCAGTAAAGCCTTAAAATACTTCTTAAATACAGTAAAAGAAAATTGATTAGGCTGTCTAAAAAAACCCCCGGACTTAAAGTCAAACCCATTCCTTGCTCCCACTGAAAGCCTACACAATACCATGGTACTTCAAGTAGACTTTTCCTTTCCATTTTTCAGTAGTAGCCTCAGTTGCGGGAGTTACTTGAATCCTTAGTAGTATCTCTGTATTTCACAGTAGGTAAACAGAACCCATTCTGTCACTTAGTAATTAATTAAGATATTGTCACTGTTTTTTTGGTTGTAAACTTTGTTTTGCCCACTTCTGTTTGAGGTTGCAGTGTTCAAAGTAGCTGGTATTTGAAGTAATGTGCATATCCATGTGGCAGAGGAGTCAGAAACAGGCTTTGCTGTGTAGATGCTGTATTGCTAATTTTATCTTATTAGATAACATTCCGTGTCAGAGATGGCTTTGTCCTTTTTGCTCTACGATCTCTATGCAGTGAGGGAGGGAAAGCTTCCTCCTAATGATGGAAACTCAGCTTGCTTGCAGGCTCTGGTAGTAAAAGTACACCTAGAGATGCTCCCTGGAGTCCAAAAGGTGGCTTGGGAATTTGCTTGGGTTTCTTTGGTTAGATTATTCTAATTTATTCAGCTTGTGAATACTTGCCAGTACAGTTCAGCTCTCAAATCCTGGTGGCTGACAAAGTGCTTTGCTTTCAGGTGGTTAGTCTTAAAATTCCAATGCAGTCAGTTTGTAATTCTTTAATCTTGTAAACATTTTGGCAAAGACCTGCTTTGTTTTGCAATCTGGCCAAAGCCTCTAAGGGATTGTGCCAAAGTGTAGCTCACAGGAGGGTTTGTAGGACCAGTCAAGGCTGTCTGACTGGTTTGGGATGGAGAAAGTGATTCATCCTGAAAAACCTCCCTCTTCTGCATTTATCCCTGCACTGGATATTTCTGTCCATTGGCCATCCTTGAACCCCGATGGAGCCTTATGAGGCACCCTTGAGTTGCCTGGTAGTTCTATGAAAGGCTTTATGAAAACACAAATATTTAACACCTTTATTCTGTTTCTTAAAGGTTTTGTTGCTCTGTAATTTTGAGGCACAGGATAGGGATAGGGAAAGGTTTGTCTTGCGGGTTTCAGGTGCTGAGGAAAAGGTCACAAGTCAGTAAGTCAAACAGTTCCTATTTGTATTTTTTCTGTTTGTTTGTTTTTTTAATCAAAGTTGAATAACATTTTCCAAGTACTTTAAATATCCCTATGGAGTATTTGCAGCAGGATCATTGCCTAAAGGAGCCTGAAAATAGAACTGAGCTGGAAGGGACAGACCGGCTTCTGTTATTTCTTCATGTTAAAAGCAAACCAGTGAAAGTTGAACAGTTACTGATATTTTTCTTAGCACACCTGCCCTGTGATCGTGGTGTGGGGGTCATTTACCAGCGGAGTTCAGCTGAAGACTGGGATTGTGAAATGGGAGCTGCACGGTTACACCCAATGCTGTTTGTGTTTCTAATGGCTTCAAAGCAAAGAAACTGTCTGATAATGAGCCCTGTTGGATAATAGCTTGAGCAATAGCTTCTGTGCTTTGTGGGTTCTGAAGGGTTCATTTTGCCTCCGTGCAGTTTGTGTAGACCCTTTGCAAAGGTTAGTCAGGGCAAGCAGCTGTTCTGTAGCTGGTGGTGCATGGCCACTTGGTCTGGGTTTAAAGTTGGGAGCGGTGCAATGTGAGTGGGCTCTCACTGATGAAAGGGTGT